TGATTGCCTTTGGGGTCTTCTTCATAAATTCTTTGCCTAGGCTGATGTTTAGAAAGTTAACCGCTCCACCTACCCTTGCTGCTGGTCTCCAGGCTGCTCCGGAGGTCTCTGCTTCCAGTTCTCCTCCTCAGCCTCCTCCTGTGGAGTCTCCTGTGGTCTCAGGTATCCCTCCTTCCAACCCTCATGTGATGTATGCTTGTTGTCTTGATTCTTCCTTCTGATTTCTCCTAGAATCTGTGTTTTCTTTAGAGACATTCTGTCTGGTGGTGTTTCTTGTCTGCCATCTTGATTAATCTCTCATCTAATGTTTTATGTGTATGTTTAACACCTAAATTTTCAGACTGCCTTCTTTCCCAGTGTAAATATTGAAAGCTTTATTTATTTATTTATTTTTGTAAAAACTGGACTGGTTTAGGCTGTATACTAGGTGTTTTGATATGTATTCTTTTTTATTAGTAAGTAGTTCTGAGTATTTTCTAATTATCTTATTAATTTCTTCTTTTAATTTTAGGGCTTATGGGCTTTCCTGGTTGTCTTTCTGTTATTGATTTCTAATTGCATTTGTTGCAGTGTCCACATACCACTTGGTTTTTATTTTCCCAATACTTTGACTTTTGTTTGAGGTAGTTTGATGTCTTGGCTTGTTATCAAAATTTGAGAGATTCAATGTGTGTTTGAAAATAGCATTCTCCAACTGTTAGGTGGAATGTTATATTGTATATTGCTCAAATATGTTGATTTTTTTTTTGTCTGTTTGAGCTAGCAATTACTGAGAGATATAGTAAAATCTCCTATGACAGTGAGTTTGTTTCTTTTAAGTTTTGGCTTTATGTATTTTGAGGTTATGTTATTGGGTGCATACAAGTTCAGAATCATGTCCTGCCTGGTTAGTTGAACATTTTAAAATTAATCATTACAGCCCCTTTTTATATGTATTCTACTAATGAGTTTTGCCCTAATGTCTCATTTGACTGATATCAAATTGGCTAACTTAGTTGTTTTGGGGGATGAAGGGGCTTAATATTAGGCTCTACTTTCTTTTTCTGACATTTTATGTAAATTTAAGTGTGAACTTGAACAGAAAAACCCCCACAGAAATATGGAAAGAATGAACAAATCTTAACATTGTGTATTTGCAAAAAGAAAAAAATGATAAAATATGCAAATATACAGTAATACTGGTAAGGAAAAACCATGAAAATAGACCCAGTTGAATAATTTTAGCAACTAAAAAGGGATCAAACCTATTCGTAGAATAGGGTTTTAAAACAAATAATATTATCAGTTACTTTATTCCAATAAACTTGAATTTTGATGCAATGCATAAATTCTAGAAAATATAATTCATGTAGTTGTCACAGGTAGAAATAGAAAGCATGAAAACAACAATAATATGAAAGAAATCAATAATCAAAAGTCCATTGGAAAGATACGTGTGCTAAATGTTTTCACTAGCAAGTTTTACCAGACCCTCAAGTCATAGTTTCCTATATTGTCTTCTAAAAGTTTTATAATTTTGTTTTTCACATTAAGATCTTTAAACAACGTGAAATGTTTTTGTTTTAGAGACTAGAAAAGGAGAGAAAGCTATTCAACACATTTAATGAGGTTGGTTTATCTATCAGATGAAGGCATTACAAAAAAAAGGTAATTGTAGACAAACTTTGTTCACAAAAATTCCTAAATAAAATCAAAGCAAAACAATCTCAGCTGTGTATTAAAATATTACAACCAAATATGATTTATTCCAAAATATACAAAAATAGTCAACTTATAAAGTCAATTTACATAATATACTATGTTAAGACAATGAAAAAGAAAAACCAAGTAGTCTTCTTCACAGAGATTGTAGTCAATAGTCTCTCCAGCTATGTATTGGAACATTTGTTACTCATATTCTTTTCAATACATGGTGGTTTCAGATTTATTATTTTTGGCCTATTTGGTTCTTTAATAATAAAATATTCATGTGAAGCTAATTTGCATTTCTTTGATTTCTTGTAATGTGAGCATCATTTTCTTCTTTCTAGCAATTTGTATTCAACAACACTGAAAGTTTTATATGTGGGAATAATACTTGTGGTATTTCAAGTTTACGTGAAGACAGGGCCTGTTTTATATATCTTTGTACCTCCTGCATCTTGTAAAATGCTTGGCATATAGCAGGTATTCTGAGATATTTATTAAGTGAATTAAAAAAATGATTAGTAAACCGTGAACCTTCTGAAGAAATTTGTGATATAGACCAATTTTGGAATGTCTAAAAATAGAATAGTTTTGCAATGTCAAATAAATGGAATTTTTATTCTAGGAAATTCCAGCAAGTAAAGACTAGACAGACAGGGATGTTATTTTAATTTATGTTAATGGTATAGGCTCCCATAAAACTTGTATAACTGATGAAGTCTTCAGTCCTAATTACTCATGATTTTATGGTTCTCCTTTATTTGTGCTTCCAGGGCATCATATGTTATGTGGAAAAATATTACTTACTTTTTGACAGATTATCAATCTTTGTACCTTTGCTAAGAGATCATTTTGCCAATCATGTGCTTACCTGAATCATACTTCAGTCACTCCCAGGTTTAAAAAATAGTTTTTTTCTTGTTTTGCAGCAGTTTTTCAGAGGATTGAAATATCTAGATTCCTGACCTTTTAGATAAGTAGGATGTTACCAAAAAATTCTATATAATTATATATAGAATTATTCTTTAAGAACTGAATTGGATTACAAATAAAATAGTTGTCTGTGATGAAATGTTTTTGTCTTTAGGGTCAGTAATAAAACAAAGATATAGTGCATATACTTTGAGTGTCAGGTTATTTGGAAGCATTAAGGGTAAAGTGAATTAAAAGGTAAACTTCAAGAATTGCTAAATGTTATGCTATAGACTACTGTGTTATAATTTTTAGAGCTGTTAGGCAGCTAGTCTCATGTGAGTTCCACATGTTTTTTGTTTTTTTTTCTTTTTTTTAAATCTATTCTATACTTATGCTGGAGTTAACCAACCACAGACAGTCCTCCACTTACGATGGTTTAACGTAACAATTTTTTGACTTTACAATGACTTTATCAGGACCCAGTCTTTAGGACTTAGGATAGAGTTACAGTTTTTACTGAATGCATATTGCTTTCGAACTATTGTAAAGTTGAAAAATTGTAAGTTGACCGTAATAAACTGGGGACTGTTTGCTGTGTTGGCAGCATTAAATGCATTGTTGACTTGAGATATTTTTAAATTTACAATGAATTTATCAGGGTGTAGCCCATTGTAACTTTAGGAACATTTGTATTTCTGATATACTTGTATAGAAGCTGGGAAAGGGAAGGACACTATTCCCAGATTACTGCACTATTTCTTGTGGTTCCCTTATATACTACCTACAGCTTTGTAAATAGTCCACTTGTAAATAAACTTTCCTCAAATTAGGGTAATTTGTTTCTCACTGGGACCCTGACTGATAGGGGCCACAGTCTCGCAATTACCTAGTCTAATTTTTTACTTTTTCAAAACCAGATGCCTTGGTCATTTTATCAGTGTTCACTTCGCAGCCTCCCCTCCCCCGGCCTGTATGAGATCCTTCATACCTTTAGTCAAACTTCATCTTTTTCTTTGATCTTCCTCTTCTCTATGAATTCCAAATAGAGATCTAATCTCTGCTTCCTTTCCTAACAATCTAAAGTACTAAGGTAGAAATCTCTAGTACACTTGGTTAAGCAGAGAAGAATACCCCTGTTATCTAAGCTAGTTAGAGCTAGCTAAATGTGTACTTTCAGACCAAAGCAAGCTGTAAGGCCTGCTTTGTCTATTTCACTCCCCTAATGCTTAAATACATATCTTTGGTCTTGTCACACTCTGGCTCCATGGAAGGGAGAGAGAGAAGAGAGCTATACCCATATATAATGGTCTTTTAATCATATCAACTCATTTTTATGTGTAAGAGCAAAGAGGAACTCAAGGAGAAGAAAGGAGACAGGTCTGAACTCTTAGAGGCAGCAGAATGTATAATTGATTTACTCATTTAAATATTTTAATTTATTCCCTATTTATTACTAGGATTATATCCAGATTCTTTGCATGATATTCAAGGCCATTCCCATTTTTCTGCTCCTATTTCTTTGTCTTTCTTCTTAAAATTCTCTAGCAATGGATTATTTACCGCTATCATCCCAATGTCACTTTCTTACTTGCTGGGTAGCTTACCTTCTTCATTTGCTTATATTGTGCCTGGAATGTCTATGCTGTCCAAATTCAGGCAAAGGAACAAAAATTCTACTTAGTCCTCAAGGTTCTATTCTTCTGTTAGGTCGTTTGTGAAGCATTCTTTTCACATAATTAGTGTTCCATTCTCACTCTTCCTGAAGCAGTTTATATTTACCTGTGTTAGAAAGTTTATCACATGGTTACATTTTGTGCATCTTATGCAGGCATACTTTTCTTTCTTGAAAACTGAAAACTTTTGAAGGAAAGTGCCATATTGTACTTTTTAAAAACAACTCCAGTCATCGCCACCATGCTTTGTATAGTGTAGGCTCTTGATAAAGGCATGATAAAGTAGTAAATAAATGAATGAGTATGAAAGAAATATTAAATTACTTGGTAGGAATTACTGAAGAGCTCACTGGTGCCATGAAATCTGCTTTTACTTCTTGGACTTTTTTGTTAAAGTATACATTTAGCATTGATATCATATGTAGAATGTGTAGCATGAGCATAAACTGGTCTCATTTTTTATATCTTTCTTGCTTTGCATTATTTTATATGTTGTTTGGAGTTTTAAAAATGTTTCTCACCAAAAATGTAATTCATATATAAGAAAATGTATTTTCTTAGGGAAATTAAATCTATTCTCATAGAGTTTGATTGAGTTTTTTTAATACTTTGGCTTAATTCTTAATCATAATTTGAATTTTTGTGTAAGTAAGAAAATACTATTATTTATATCTAATTTGTATCACATTTTGTTAAGAAAGTAATTGATGTGCTCTTTTGTTTCAGCTAAACCATTTACTTCTAAAGTGAAACAAATGCGATTACATAGAGAAGACTTTGAAATATTAAAGGTGATTGGTCGAGGAGCTTTTGGGGAGGTAAGAGATTAAGATTTTATAAAAAGTCTGCTAATTGTTTTGGAAGCTGTTTTATATAGTCATGAGATAATTTAGCTGAAGTATTATTTACTTCTTGTTGTAATTGATATGGTTCATCAGAAAATATATTAAAGTTTTGAATGAAATGTTTTTACGTGGAATTTTTTTCTAAGATGTTTCACATTTTCACATGTACTTCATATGTCATTGTAGGTGTGACTGTGTTTCTAGATTCCTTTATTCCATTGGGCTATTTGCCTCTCCCTGTGGCAATACCATATTGTTTTCAATTATTCTAGTTGTAAGGAGTCTTGATATGTGGTTGTGAATATATTCTAACCTCCCTCCACCTCCCTAACCTCCCTCCACCTCCCTCTCCCTATGTCTCCTTTTCCCCATGTATTTTCATATTATTTTAAAATCAGTTTTTTGATTTCTACTCATACACATAGAAATTTGGATTAGGATTGCATGGAAACTGGAGATCAATTTACAGATAATTGATATCTTAACACTGAGTCAGCTAATCCATAGACATGGTATATTCTTCCATTTATTTAGAGCTTTATAAATTTTTCTCAATAATGTTTTGTAGTTTTCATTCAGTGTAGACGACCTCCACATATTTCAGCAGATTTATTCCTAGATATGTGATATTCTTGATGTTATTTTATTTAGAATTAAGTTTCATTTTCTAGTTGTTTTCTTGGGTAGTTAGAAAAATAATTGAATTTTGTTATTGACCTCATGCCCAGTGACCTTGTTAATTATACTTTTTAAAGTCATGAGTTGTGTTGAATTTTAATAAAATGTTTTATCTGCATCTTTGAGACACTCATGGTATTTCTCTTTTGTTAATGTATTGAACTATACTGATTTATTTTTGAATATTAAACTATCTTTGCATTACTAAAATAAGCCCAACTTGCTTGTGATGTATTATCCTTTTTACATATCAATGGATTTCGTGTGCTATTTTTTGGTGTGTTTTTTAGGACCTTTATACCTGTGCTCTTGAGAGAAATTGGTCTGTAATTTTCCTACTTCTAATGTGCTGATCATATTTTGGTATCTTGGTTATGCTAGTCTCATAAAGAGGGAAATGTTTCCTCTTTTACTGTTCCCTAGAAGAGTTTGTGAAGATTGTTATTATTTTTTCCTGATATGTTTATAGGATTTCACTGGTGAAGGCATTTGGGCCTAGAGGTTGCTAGTGAGAAAGTTTAAAATAAAGTATTTTATTTCTATAATGGAAACAGAACTACTTGGATTTTCTATTTTTCTGTCAGTTTTGCTAGGTTTATCCATATCATCTAATTTTTCAGGTTTATTACTACATCGGTCATTTGTACCTCTCATTTTTTGATTTATCTTGCTAGGGGTTTATTAATGAATTAATTTTTTGGCTTTTTGAATTTTGCTATTGTATTATAGATTTGTATCCGGTTTCTTAAATTTCTGCTCTTTAATATTTTATTTCTTCTATTTTCTTTGGTTTTAACTTGCTAGTCTTTTCCTAATTTATTGCAATACAGCATTGATTTTGATTTCTTCTTTTTAAATCTATATTTATGGTTATACATTTTCTTCTAAGCAGCCTTAGGTACAGCTGACAAGTTTTGATATGTTATATTTTCATTATTATTTTGCTCATAATACAATGTGATTTAAAATTTCTATGGTTTTTTTTGATCTATGAATTTAGAAGTTTATTTCTCAATTTCTAAACAATTTCTAGTTATATTTCTTTTATTAAGTAGTGGGCAGAGAACATACACTTTGTGATTTCAGTTCTTTGAAATTTGCTATACAATGTTCTGTAAGTATCAATTAGGTCAAATTCGTTAATCTTGTTTAAATCTTCCTCATCCTTATTTTCTGTTTTCTGTGCTTGATTTATCATTCTCTAAGAGTTTTTAAAAAATTTTTTTAAAGTTTTTGCTGATGATAAACACAGTTATTATATCTTCCTGGTGATTAACTCTTTCATCATTATGAAATGTTCTTGTTATCTCTGTAATGCTTTTTGACTTAATGGAGTTATATCTTCTAGGTGATTAACTTTTCATCATTATGGAATGTTCCAATTATGTCTGTAATATTTTTTTATTTAAATTTTTCTTAATCTTATTAGTAGAGCTACTCTAGCTCTCTCTATTAATATTTGCATTAAATATCTTATTCCATCCTTTTAGTTTTAGCTTTTGATATTTTCTGTTAAGTGTTGTTAGGTTTTGTTTTTTTAATCCAGTCTTGTATATTTTATCTTTTAATTGGAGTATATCTGGTCACTTGACATTTATGTATTATACTGTTTATTATCATTTGTTTTCTATTTGTCTTGTCCATTCTGTGTTATTTTTCTTTAACTTCTTGCTTTTTCTTGGATTAATGGAATATTTTAAATTACCCCCTCATGAATTTCTTGGTTTTACTTTCTTTTATTAGTTTCCCTAGAGAATGCAACATGTATCCTTGATAAATTTGTATTTTTCCAATTCCCATTTACCCAATTTCTACCTTTCTTTGTTATTGCTGTCATGTATTTTAGTTTGACATATATTTGAAACCCCAACAGATATGATTATACTGTTGTTATTCAGTTAGATTTACCTACATATTTATGTTTTCTCTTGCTGTTCACATTCACATACTTCTATTGACATACTTCCCTTTGGGATCTTTTTCCTTTTGACTTAAAAATTACCTTTAGTATTTCTTTAGTATAGGTTTGCTGATGATAAATTCACTGCTTTTTTTTTGTCTGATAACGTGTTTATTTTGAGGCCTTAAAAATTTTAAATTTGAGGTATATATAAATATATAAGTATGGCTTGGTGGATTTTTACATGTGTATGAACTTGTGTAAACCATCATGCAATTCAGGGTATAGAATACTTCCAACATTCAAATAGGCTCCCATTGCCTCTTGCATTGAATAACCAGTTCCTTGTTAACTGTCTATTCTGACTTCTATCATCATAGATTTATTTTGATTTATTTTGCTTGTTTTTGCTATATTAATGGAATTATTATATTTACTTTATACTCTTTGTTTCTGGCTTCTTTTGCTCAGTATTATACTTATGTGACTCACCTAGTTTTTCACTGGGTTCACTGTATTTCTTACCATCAGTTATTTCTTCATACTAGTGTTGGTGGGTGTTCAAGTTGTTCATGGTTTTTGGCCATTTGGCCATAATGCTGTTATGCACATTCTTGTACATGTCTTTTGGGAGATTTTATAAAGCACTTATTTGTGTTTCATATATATTTAGGAGTAGAATTTCTGGGTCACAGAGTAGGCATATTTAGCTTTAGTATATAATGCCAAATAATTTCCCAAGTGGTGCCTGATTTATACTCCCACCAACAATATATGAAGGTTCCGGTTGTTTCATAACCTAACACTTGGGTCACTATTTTTTTTTTACTTTAGCCATTTATTAATGAGTGAGTAGTTGTATTGCATTGTGATTTCATTTTGTGTTTCCTGATAACTCTTAAAGTTGAACACATTTTGTCATATCACTACTTTACATCATTTGGATATCCTTTTTCTTGAAGTGCACATTTTGGAGTTGGGGGAGTAGGAGCCCAGTGTGTGGGTTCTCTGACTTACTGGTATATTCTGGATACAAGTCCTTTGTTGGAGACATACTGATACATGTGTATTAAAAAAAATCTTTTTTGTGGTTTGGCTTTTACCTCTCTTTATAGGTATTTTATGGAACAGAAGTTGTGTTAATGAAGTCCAATAAATTAAACATTTTTTATAATTAGCAATTTTTGTTTTGTTTTTAAGAATTTTTTCTAACCTCAAGATCATGAAAATTTTTTCCTATAATATTTAAAAGAATTCTTTGTATAATCTTTCAAAATAAAGCTTTTACATTTAGGTGTCTAATCCATCTGGTATTGACTATTTTGTGTTTTCTGAGGTATAGATTAAAGTTCATTTTATTCTTGTGGTTTCTCAGTATCATTTATTGTAAAGACTACCTTTCCACATTTCATTACAAAGGAACTTTTGTTTTTGTTTTTGTTTTTTTTTTTGAGACAGAGTCTCACTTTGTTGCCCAGGCTAGAGTGAGTGCCGTGGCGTCAGCCTGGCTCACAGCAACCTCAATCTCCAGGGCTCAGTGATCCTACTGCCTCAGCCTCCCAAGTAGCTGGGACTACAGGCATGCGCCACCATGCTCGGCTAATTTTTTGTATATATATTTTTAGTTGGTCAATTAATTTCTTTCTATTTTTGGTAGAGACGGGGTCTCGCTCAGGCTGGTTTCGAACTCCTGACCTTGAGCAATCCGCCCTCCTCGGCCTCCCAAAGTGCTAGGATTACAGGCGTGAGCCACCACGCCCGGCCAGGAACTTTTGTTTTAAATCAGGGGTCCCTAAATATGTTACTCATTAATTTTTAATAGTTTTCAGTGTAGAAGTCTTGTTTCTGTTTCATTAAATTTATTTACAAGTCTTTGATGTTTTTTGAGAAGTTTATAAATGATAGTTTTGGAATTTTCTATTTTCTACTTTTGTTGCTAGGATAGAAATACAGTTGTTTTTTTTGGGTATATTTATCTTTTATTTAAGGACCTGTTTAACTTATTAATTCTAGTTTATATATAAATTTTTAACAATTTTCTATGTACTTAAATTATATCATCTCTAATGATAGCATTTTTTTCTTTCCAATTTTTATGCCTTTTATTTCTTTTTCCTATATTATTGAAATAGAGAAGATCTCTAGTAAAATGTTGAGTTCAAGTAGTGAAAAAGTACATTCTTGTCTGGTTTGTGAATTTAGCATTCACAAATAGTAAATACAGTTGAGTATGAAGTTTGCTATCACTTTTTTCTATTGTTATTTTTTTTATTTCTAGTTCTAGTCTATAGAGACTTGTGAAGAGGAGTTAACTTTTATCAAAAGCTTGATCTTTATCTATTTTGATTTGATTTAACTACTATATTTGGTTAATATGGAAATTATAATAATTTTC